CATAAGATGCATCAGAACTACTCCCTTAAATTTGACCTCTGACCTTTGTCCATAGTACTGACTTTTGACCTGTAAGCAGGTATTTGGGTTTGTTGCTGACCTTTGACCTGCAGCTGTACATTTTTCAGTCTCCTTTCTTCTCTTCCATCACCGATGGAGCAGGTGTAGTTGCCGCTGTCAGTCAGTTGTGGTTTTCTCAGAGTGAGGCTGAAGTTTCCGGTCTTCAGAGCATCATCCATCATAACTGTGCGCCCGCTGTAACGTTGGTTTTGCTCTCCAAGATCATCTCCTTCTTTTCGTCGTAGGTGAACAGATTTGTTATAAAGATCTTCGTGAGTCCACATCACTGTGGGGTCATCCTCAGGTATTAAACCTGAGAACTTACAGGGCAGTAGGACAGACTCTGCCCCCTCATTTACCTCCACCACCACAGCTAGGGCATGCTGGGAAACTGAGGACACACAAACAGAAACACAAATTAACTGCATGCTGTGGGTTTGTCTCAGAGTCCATGTTTATGTTGAGGGAACTGAGAGAACAGTTTACAGTGAGACAATTTAATTTAGACAGTGAAGTCAAAAATATATAAACATTAATCTGTTAAATGGTAAATAGACGTTATTTTGTATAGCGCTTTACTAGTCCCTAAGGACCCCAAAGCGCTTTACACATCCAGTCATCCACCCATTCACACACTGACTGACTGCTTGCGTGAGACCTCGCAAAGCTTAAAGAACTGTGCAGGATGTAATCCCCCAAACCAAAACATGGTTTGTTATTCATTTCAGGGGTCTGGAGGGTAAAATCATTCAGTTTTTTTGTGATTATCAATTATTTTTTTCTGGGTCTGGAGTAAATGTTGGAAAATAAAGCCTTGCACTACCACTTATGCTTTGGGGATGCTTCCCCTGCTCTTTGTGATAATTTCTTAAAATATTTTTCTGGAAAGATCTCAGCTCTAAGGGCTTCTCATTCATCTCATTCATCATCAGTTTTAGACCCAGTTCCAGCCTCTGAATGCTTGACTGTCTTTCAACAGTTTGAGCCAGTGTCTAATTCTGCTTTAAAAGATATAATTGATCATCTCAAAATCTCTGGCTCCCTGCATGATATTCTTCCTTCTCATTTCTTTAAGGAAGCTTTACATGTTATTGGTCCTTGTATCTTATCTCTGCTGAATGCATCATTGTCATCAGGTTGTGTACCGTCTGTCTTTAAGCATGCTGTTGTGCAACCTATTATGAAAAAAGAAAAATCTTGACCCTAATGGTCTCACTAACTACAGACCGATCTCCAAACTCCCTTTTATTTCCAAAATATTGGAAAAGGTAGTTCTAAAACAACTTCAGGCCTTTTTAGAGGTTGCGAAGAAGCAGACACATCAGATTTCAGAGGTGAATAAATCTGGATATCATCAGCATAACAGTGAAAGGAGATGTTGTATTTTCTAAAAATTAATCCCAACGACAATATGTACAAAGAGAAAAGAGCAGGACCGAGCACGGACCCTTGAGGCACACCACAATAAATAGGGGCAGAAGCCGAGGAGTGTTGCCCCATGGCAAAAGAGAACGACCTCTCTGAGAGGTAGGATTTAAACCAAGTTAAAACCGTACCTTTGAGACCAACATCATGTTCCAATCTTGATAGCAGAATATTGTGGTTAACCATGTCAAAAGCAGCAGATAAGTCAACTAAAACCACGGAATATCCAGAGTCAACAGTTAAAAGAAGATCATTAAAAACTCTAAGTAAGGCTGTCTCTGTGCTGTGGCGAGGTTTAAAACCAGACTGAAACTTTTCATTAATACCATTT